TACATCCACACATGTATCCATTCATCCATCTATCTATCTATCTATATATATATACATGCATACATCTATTCATCCCTCCATCCGTCCATCTATCCATCCATCCATCTATCCATCCACACATGCATCCATTCATCCATCCATCTATACATATATACATGCATACATCTATTCATATGTCCATCCATCCACCCATCGACCCATCTGTCCATCTATTCATCCATCCATCTATCCATCCACACGTGTATCTATTCATCCATCCATCCATCCATCTATACATACATACATACATGCATATGTCTATTCATCCATCCATCCATCCATCTATTCATTCATCTATCCATCCATCCATCCATCCATCCATCTATTCATCCATCCATCCACCTATCCACCCATCCCTCCCTCCCTCCATCCATCTGCCCACCCATCCACTCATTCATGGAATGAATGTTTCTGTAGTATCCAGGCATGTTCTGGGTCCCACAATGGGGGTGAAATGGCTGAGCTGTGAGCCTGGCCTGGAGGTGCTGGTATTTTCCTGGGGGTGGGCAGCACGTCTACACAGAGGGCTGGGCAGGGGTGTTCAGCCCTGGTGCAAAAGGCCACCCCAGGGAAGGCTGTCCCGCATGCTGGGGAAATGGTGGCCACTGTGGGGGACACAGGCAGTGGCTGTCCCTGGGCTCTAAGCAAGTTGGGGGCATGGCACTCAAGAGGGAGGTTGGTTCAGGGGAGGTTATGGCTTCATTCCCAGAGAACTGGGCTGCTACGTGAAAAATACATCAGGACATGTGGCGGAAACATATATTAAAACTACAAATCAATGTGGTTTCGACTGAAGATGGGAAAATGCCGTGGGGGTATTGGCTAATTACAGTAGACTTGATCAACGAGGCCGTAGCCTGCTGTGCATCTGTCTGATGGGCCCAGGGTGATGAGGAAGATGCTGGCTCTGAAGGGTGAGCCTGGAGGAGGCAGATCCATGGGCCCTGCCAAGGGGAGGCACTGCTCTATGCTAAGTCACCAGCAAATACAAGGGTTTGCCCACAGCTGGAAGTGGGTTCATTTGGAGCTCCAGTGGAAAATACTTGGAAGTGCCCTTGGTTGGGAGTGGGGCAAGAGGCAGGGAGGCTTGGTGGTCAGGGTGGCCCCTAGATGCCTGCCAGGCTCGGCTGGTATAGTGAGGTGCCTGTTGTCTTTGGGTTGGGAGGTTGGCTGGGTCCTGGTTTCCGAGTCACCCTGCCTTCTCCCAGAGGTTCTTCCAGCTGTGGGCTTGACTCTAGCTGGTGGGGGTCTGAGACAACATGTTGCTTTGGGGAGGAAATGTCCCTGAATGCCATCAGCAGTGGCCTTTAGGGGGCAGGGATGCGGGTGTGGGTTTGAGGGGAAGATGCAGGACTTGGGTCCCAGCTACTGGCAGCTTGGGGTGGGGGCTGCCCTGCTGTTGGCAGCAGGCCCTACCTGAGTCTTACCTGCGGCAAGGTGATCTAGGGCAGGAAGTGAAAAGGAAGCAGGGGTGGGGGTCGGGGAGCAGCTCCCCCTCCCAGGCAGACTCTGGGGAGCTGGCACGCCAGAGGCTGGAAGCGTGAAGTCAGAGATGATGACCAGCGCCTAGAGGTTTTGAGCTTCCTTTCCCACATGAGGGCCCTTCCCCTCGGAGGGACTTGAGGATCCCCCCGGGGCCCACTCTCAGCGTCAGTGGGGTGGGGGGAGCTGGAGTGTCATCCCTTGGTACCTCGGGTGCTGCCGTTTCTTGGGTCAAAGGTACTGCCTAGTACCCTGAGGACCTTCCCAGGCCTGGGGCTGGCGGGGGCGGTTGGGGGCTGGGGGCGTCTCCAGCACAGAGTGTCTGGTGGCTCTGGGGGTCCCAAAGCTTACCTCCTTACCAGTAGTGAGCTGGCAGCTGTGAGGTCTCCTGTTATTCATTCCAGGGTCTGGCTTGTAGAGCCTTAAATCTTGAGCGTGGAGAGCATGAAGTTCCATGGGGTGATTAATGAAAGAAAAATTGAGTCGGCAGCACAGAAAGTGACCGGGTTGAAGAGAGTCAGTGACAAGTTGGATGGTCTCCGTGCCTCCCTGCCAATCCAGAGCTCTGACCCGGCTGGGGGGCGCCACCTGCTGGTTGCGGGAGTGGTGGCACCCAGCCCCCGGCTGAGCCGAGTGGACGCGCCCCCGTAAGGTGGGGGCTCTGGGCCTGGTGTGCCCAGGCCCTGGAGCCTCGGAGCCTTGGCCCTGTCCCTCTGGGGCTGCTGCGGGGCATGGGGCCAGGGTGGCTCTCCATGGCGCAGGGACCTAGCAGCTGCTCTGATCACCCGACTCCATAGCTGCAGCTCTGGGCGGGGGGTGGGGGGGGGGGGGGCGCCCGCGTCTCTGGTTTAGGGGCACTTCCCAAGTGGCTCAGCGGGTAAAGAATCCATCTGCAGTGCAGGAGACACAGGAAAAACAGGTTCAATCCCTGGGTCGGGAAAATCCCCTGGAGGAGGGCAGGGCAGCCCACTCCAGTATTCTCGCCTGGAGAATCCTCATGAGCAGAGGAGCCTGGAGGGCTACAGTCCGTGGGGTCGCAATGAGTCGGACACGACTGAGCAGAAGCACACGGGTCTAGTGACGGTGGGAAAAGCCCCACTTCCTTTGTCGTGCCCCGTCTGGACTGCCTTCCTGTCTCCCATTTATCAAAATCCTGCTCATTCGTTAAAGCCCAGCAAGCCCTTCCGGCTGCTTCTTCACTTGGAGCATCCCTCCGCACTCCTGCCCAGCGCCCTGCCCTGTCACCTGGTCACTGCAGTGGCCTGACTGCTCACCTGCCCACTTCGCCCCCCAATGACCTGTTCTCCACACAACAGCCAGAGTGACCTGCTGAAATCCCAGATCACGTCCCTGACCTGCTCCCGGCTCGCCATCTCACCAAGAACAGACGCTGTGAGGTCCCGCCCACCGGTCCCCACCACTGTCACCTCGCTCCCCCGTCCCCTGCCGGCAGCTGGCCAGGCTCACCCCAGCCAGGGCTTTTCACCTGCTGTCTCCTCTGGAACTTCCTTCCCCGTATTCATGTGGTTCACTTCTCCTCTTCTGGTGCCTAGCCGCTCAGTCGTGTCTGACTCTTTTGAGACCCTACGGACTGTAGCCCGCCAGGCTCCTCTGTCCATGGGATTCTCCAGGCAAGAATGCTGGAGTGGGTTGCCATGCCCTCCTCCAGGGGATCTTCCCAACCCAGGGATTGAACTCCCGTCTCCTGCGTCTCCTACACTGGCAGATGATTTCTTTATCATTGGGAAGCCCCTCCTCTTGTGGACCCCTCCTCAAATGACACTCTTCGAGAGGCCTTCCCTGACCCCCCCCCCGCCCCCCACCCCTGTTACTTTCTGACTCTTTCTCATCCTGACTTCTTTTTCTTCACCTCACCTGGACTTTTGTCTTCTGTTTGCTTCTGTGACGTCTGCATCCCCTACTTCCCCAGGGTGTCTCCCTGGGCTCAGGGCAGGGCCTGGCTCTCCTGAGCGGCGGCGCCATTCCGGTTTGTGGAACAGATGAGAGAGGAAGTGTGTCTCCTCCAGGAGCCTCTGGCCCTGCCCAGCTTCCCTCTCTCCGCCTGCACGTGGCTGCCCAGCCTTCGCTGCCACGTGTTTGCTCCCTGGAGGCTTGGGTTCTGAGCGTCGCAGCCTGGCACCCGGCTCATGAAATGTCACCCAGAGGCCAGCGCCTGGCCCTGTCACCCTTTCCACAGGGCTTCTTTCTTTTAAATTCTCACAGTGGTCCCGAAGAGGCGGGCAGCGTCTCATTCTCCACCTGCCCCGTCCGCATGTCTGTGGGGCTGCCCCTCCACCTGGCACCTGAGCTCTGGGCCCCTCACCTGTTAACGGAGCATACAGTCTGGGAAGCTGTGCTTCCCTGGCTCCCATCTGGCCGCAGTAGAGGCCCCGGGAAGGCAGCTCCCTAATACCAGCACTACTGTGCTAACAGCTCTGCTCTTGTTTAATCGCTCAGTCGTGTCCGATTCTGCAACCCCTGTAGGAGCCTCCATAGCCCTCCAGGCCCCTCTGTCCATGGGTTTCTCCAGCCAAGAATACTGGAGTGGGTTGCCACGTCCTCCTGCAGGGGATCTTTCCAACCCAGGGATAGAACCCGCATCTCCTGTGTCTCCTGCTTTGGCAGGTGGGTTCTTTATGCCAAAGCCACCGGGGAAGCCTGTGGCTGTAGGTCCTCAGTAAATACCTGTTGACTGATTAACTCAGGCTCCGCGGGGGTGGAGGAAGGAGTGTCAGTTTATGGAGCGGAAGACAGGCCGCCGTGGAAACTGTATCTTTGTGGGCGTCCTAGCCCCAGGGGAGCCGTGCAGCAGAGCGGGCTCCGGTTGGGTGCAGCTGCCAGCTCCCTGGGGGTGTGTGGGGAGTGGTGCGCCCTGCCCCGCATGCCGGCCAGCCCCTCAGCCAGGCCAGGGAGCTTCTTCCTATTTCTATCTCTGTGGAATTTGTTCTTCCTGCTCCTGAGGACCATGGGCAAGTGCCCCTTCCCGTCAGGGCAGCGGGACGGAGTCGCGGCAGAGTCTGGCTCTGCGGAACTGGGTTCTGAGGCTCTCTCCCAAAGCCCTCACTTGCTCCGTGGCCACCGTGGCCCCACGCCATCCCCTCTCCTTCCTGATCCCCAGGCCCCCCTCTGCCCAGTGGGGCACCCGCAGCGCTGCGTGTGCAGCTGGGATCTTCCCTGTTTGTCACGTGATCTCCCTGCCCTGTTTCATCTGTCTGCACTGAAGTGACCCTATAGGGGTCATGAAGCTGGTCTCATCCCATTTGCCAGATGAGGAGACTGAGACGTGGAGAGGCTGGGGGCTTTGTGCAGGTCACACCCCCCAGTGTCGTTCGGGCCGTGGTACCCGCTCCAAGTCCCACGGTTGGGGCCGGGGTTGGGGTGGGAGGGGGTGGGGGGGGCAGGGATGGTGGGGAGGGACAGGCGGTCTTCCGAGCCCCATGGAGACGGATTCGGGCTAACAGGCTTTCCTTTCTCTGCAGCTCTGTGGCTGTGGGCTGCTTGGAGTGGGCATTTGGCTGTCCGTGTCGCAAGGCAACTTTGCCACCTTCTCCCCCAGCTTCCCCTCACTGTCAGCAGCCAACCTGGTCATCGCCATAGGCACCATCGTCATGGTGACGGGGTTCCTCGGCTGCCTGGGGGCCATCAAGGAGAACAGGTGCCTCCTCCTCAGTGTAAGTTGGACCCCTGCCCCCCAGTCCCCCCACCCCCTTAGTCCCCCAGGCCCCCAGCCCTCTGAACACTGGGGCCACGAGCGCTAGCCTGAGCGCCTAGAATGACCACGCCCCTCTTCCTCCTGATTGGCTACCCTGGCCTTGGTGCCCCTCCCACTCCTTGATTGGCTGTCAGGCTTCACCTCCCTTCCCTGCCCACATGGGATCCCTACCTGGGAAACCTGCCCCCTGCCAGCCTATTTGCACCTTGTCCCTGGCTCACGACCACGTGCCCATGCCTGCACCTTCTCGTTCCAGTTCTTCATCGTCCTGTTGATCATCCTCCTGGCAGAGCTGATCTTAATTATCCTCTTCTTTGTCTACATGGACAAGGTAAGACTTCCAGGAGGGGAGGGAGTGTGTGGAGTATCATTGCCCGTGGGGTTGGGTCAGGGAATCTGGAGGAAAAGCACTGACAGGTTGTATCTCTGAGGAGAGGAGGGCTTTTGGTGGGGGTAGCAGGGGGCTCATCCGCTTGTGTTGTCTGAGAAGTGTGTGTGGGGTGTGTTGCTCAGTCGTGTCTGACACTTTGAGACCCCATGGACTGTAACGTGCCGGGCTCCTCTGTCCATGGGATTTCCCAGGCAAGACCACTGGAGTGGGTTGCTGTTTGCTACTCCAGGGGATCTTCCTGACTCAGGGATTAACTTGCATGTCTTAGGTTGTAGACCCTCTAGTCACCCAGGGATGCCCTAACCCTAGCCCTAACTGGAGAGCACCACTGAGCTCCCTGTCACTGGGAGCATTCAATCATAGCTGTGCTGACCACTTGGAGGAGGGTCAAGTTCTCCAAGAACTTGAGAAGCCCCAAATTCTTGAAGTTCTCCAACTTACTGAAGTTCTTCTCCAAGAAGAACTTCTCTATGAACTTGGAGTTCTTCTCCAAGAACTTGAAAAGTTCATATTTTAGGCCGGAAACCCTGTGCCCCAAGTTCTTGGGCTGAAGTATGGAAAAGTTCATATCCTTTTCTCGAGGCCTTTGGGGACAGGGAGCTGATCTCATGGGCTTCCCTGATAGCTCAGTTGGTAAAGAATCCGCCTGCAATGCAGGAGACCCCAGTTCGATTCATGGGTCTGGAAGATCCGTTGGAGAAGAGATAGGCTACGCACTCCAGTATTCTTGTCCTTTCCTTTTGGCTCAGCTGGTAAAGAATCCGCCTGCAAAGTGGGAGACCTGGGTTCGATCCCTGGGTTGGGAAGATCGCCTGGAGAAAGAAAGGCTACCCACTCCAGTATTCTGGCCTAGAGAATTCTATGGACTGTATAGTCCACGGGATCACAAAGAGTTGGACACGACTGAGTGAAAATGACTTTCACTCACTCACTTCAGCTGATCTCAGGCTGCACTGAGGATTCAGGAGATTAAGAGGGACTAACCTCTGTCCAGGCTGGAGAGTTCCCCACCCAATTGGGGAACTTCCTCTGGGATCACCAAGAATGATTGGTCAAGTGTGCAGACTTAGCATTCAGGGGCTCTTCTGGTTCATGATAAACAGAACCATATAACCATCTGCCCCTTGGGTCCTGAAGGAGTCTCCCAGGCCACCGAGAGGGAGAGTCACTATTAGGGTTAGAAGCAGTGATTCCTTTGCATCTGCAAAAAAGGAGCCACTGATAATATTGAGAGATGGCTGCAGGCCGGCCCTGTTCTTGGTTTTCATGGGAATCATTCCTTTAATTTTCACAACCATCTCCGAGGTGGATGTTATGTGTCAGTGTTACAGACAAGGCAGAGGCGGGAGAGGGTAAGCGACTTGCTAGCGAGGGGTGGCCCCACACTCCGGACGGCGGCTCTGCGCCCTGCAGTTCCCAGGTTGTGTTCCTGCAGGGCCAACGTGGGGCATGGGATGTCGTGGGCCAGGGGGCAGCGTGGCCTGTGAGGGGGCGTGTCCTGGGAGCAGAGGAGCTGTGGGGGGGCTTGTGCTGTCTCCGCCTCTGAGGGTCCCTGCTCCCTCCTAAAACAGTCGGCTCTCATGGGGATCACCTCCGGCCCCCAGGCCTCCCCCATGAGTTGGTGGGGCCGGCACTCGTGGCTGACCTGGGTGACCTGGGGAGAGGGGCGGCCTCCTGGTCCCCCCGCCCTGACCTCAACCTGAGTCACCCGACAGGTGAACGAGAATGCCAAGAAGGACTTGAAGGAGGGCCTGCTACTCTACAACTCGGAGAACAACGTGGGGCTGAAGAACGCCTGGAACATCATCCAGGCAGAGGTGAGGGCTGGGGACGGGGGCAGGTGTGGGTGGAAGGCGGGGCCTGGGCCTCAGACGCCACCCCCCAGCCCTGGCTGGGCTGCTGGCTCTCTGGGTCAGACATGGTGCTCTGGCCAGCAGCTGCTGCGGGGCGGCTGGGTGGGCGGTGGGCTGTGCGGGGGCCTGGATGTGGCCAGCAGCCATCCAAGGGGCTGGGAGCTGGGAATCAAGATGGACAATCAGGAGGGCAGCTCCTCCATCCCATCCTTTCTGAAGATTCAGCACGAATGACAGTATTTTAGCAACAGGTCTGCCTCCCCGGTTGTGACTCAGGAAACCCTGTTCTAAGAGGAAACGTGTCAGTGTAGCTCCATGTGGAGCCTGGGGAGGGGCTGCCACCACGAAGCCAAGAGCTAGGGGCAGACAAGCAGAGGGCTGAGTACTCTGCCCAGCGCCCAGCACCCCGCTCAGAGAGCAGGCGGCCGTCCTCCAGGAAGGAGATATTTTTCCATCCCCTGGGCCTGGCTGGGGCCCAGAGAAGGGACAAGCAAGCTGGCCTCTGGGTGCTAGCTCCCATGGGGCCTGGGGGCAGGGAAAGGACCGAGTTGGACCCGTCTAATGCGTCCCCACCCCTCCCCGCAGATGCACTGCTGCGGTGTCACTGACTACAGGGACTGGTTCTCGGTGCTGGGGGAGAACACGGTCCCCGACCGCTGCTGCATGGAGAACTCCCAGGGCTGCGGACAAAACAACACCACCCTTGTGTGGAGGACGGTGAGGCTGGGTACCCCAGGGGCCCCTGGGTGGACAGTCTGGGCGGGGGTGGGGGGTGGCCCAGGACACCAAGGAGGTGGCTTAACGTGGGATGGGTGAGGGCACACAGGCCTGAAGCCGAAAGGCAGTGGCAAGTGAGCGTCTGGGCTCACGTCTCGGGGGGTCAGAGTCGGGTAGGAATGGGCTCTGGGGCTGTGCAATGGGGCCTTATGGACGGAACCGGGGTGGGGGCGGGGTCCAAAGGGAAGTGAGGTGGGGGCTGGGCAGGAGGGCCCATGGTTCACCCCAGCACCTGAAGCTGTGGTCCTCACTCCCCAGGGCTGCTACGAGAAGGTCAAACAGTGGTTTGCTGACAATAAGCACGTGCTTGGCACGGTGGGGATGTGCCTTCTAATCACACAGGTAAGGGGGCCGTCCTGCCAGCGGGGTGGAGGGGACAGCCCGAGGGAGAGCCCTCCCCGCGGGGCCTGCGCCCCCCCACCGAGGGCCTGCCTGAGCCTCCTCACATCCCCCTGAGCCGTGGGCCTGTGCTGGCCTTGCAGGAAGGGCTGGCTGGAACAGGCCTGTCCCCCGCCCAGGCACAGGAACCTTTATTACCTTGTGAGCCAACCGCATGGCATCAGTGTGAGCAAGGCCCAGGGGTGGCCTCCTTGGGGTCCATCCCGCCCCAGCACCTGTGTGAGTGCGTCACGTGGCCCACGGCTTCGTTCCTGTGCCTTTGTTTCCACATCTGTGTAGTGGGCTCGATCACGGGTCACTTCTTAGCACTATGTGGGTTTGATACCCGGAACGCTGGGCCGGGAGGGCGCTCAGGAAGGGCCAGCAGCCCTTGGTCTGCGTTTTGTGGGTGGCTGTGCTGCACGGCCCAGCGTGGGTGACAGAGAAGGATGCCAAGGAGACCCTCAGCTCCTTCTTGGACGAGGAGGCTGACGTGGTGGCAACAGGAGACCCCCCCCATCTTTCTGGGCCCAGGAGCATTGGGCGCGCCCTCCTCGCCCAGTTGTGTGTAACTCCTACCCCTGGGGAGCCCCAGTCCTTGACCGGTGGGTCCACAGAGAGATGGACGTCCTGCTCGAAGTCCCCTTTCTTCCCTAAACCCTGGGGCTTGTGGTTTGGACCGAGTGTGCTGGTCGAAGAGCCTTCGAGCTTGGCGGATGAGCCACTGTGCCCTCTCGGGGCTTCGATGGGAGACAGGCCGGTGGGAGAAGGTTGTGTGGTTCCGAGTGGGGCTCAGCTCAGGGCGGCCTGCGGCAAGGCCCGGAGCAGGACGCTGGGGCTGGGCTGGGTCCAGCCCCTGGTCTCCAGGGTCACTGCAGACATCGAGTGTGAGAGCCACGGAGGCAGTGAGTGTCCCCGGACAGTGGGTCCATGGTGTGTGCTGCTGCCCAAGGGGCGGGCAGGCTGCCCTCCTGCTCCTCCAGTGCGTCAGGACCCAGGGGGTGCGGGGACACAGATGGCCATCGACATGCTCCCAAGGCGGCAGCCGTGAGCCCCGGGACTCTGCGGGAGCCATCGGTGGGCTCCCAGAGTTCCTGCCGCCTCCCCATCGACTCCCCAGCTCCCCAGCCCCCTGCGGTTTAGGTTCAGGCCCCTGTCCTCACCATGATCTGAAACAGCAGGTTTCTGGGCCTCGCAGCTGGGTGACATCCAGCCTGGACAGTCCGAGGGGCCGAGCTCCCCATGTGCGGCCTGCCTCAGCTCTGCTTCGCCCTCGCGTGCCCGCCCCATGGCGTCTGCATAATGGGAGGGGCTCCCCCACAGGTGCTGGGTGTCCCCTGGTCCCCCGTCTAAGGCCCCTTGGCCCCATGTCTTTCAGATTCTGGGCATGGCCTTCTCCATGACCCTCTTCCAGCACATCCACCGGACTGGGAAAAAGTACGATGCCTGAGCGGCTGGCCGAGCGCCCCGGCCCCCGTGGACACTGCGAGGGAAGAGGCCTTCAGCTTTGTGTCGCCTGCACCTCCAGACTGCTGACCCCTGCATCCCCGCCCTGGCCTGCCTTCCCGGCCACCTGCCGAAGCCTTGTCGGTGGGCGGAGGCCGGGGGTGGGGGAGGAAACGCAGAGACCTTGGGGGTGCTGGGGCACCCAGATTCCTGTGTATTTGCCAAAGAAGACAGGGTGGGTGGGTGGGGGGCTTGCTCCAGGAGCCCCCAGCACTGACGCGTTTCTGCCCTGTCTTTTTCCTCAGCTGACACTTTGTTCCCCGCATGGCATGGGGTGGGGGTGGGGGCGCTCAGGGCTGCCTTCTGGTGGAGAGACTGCCCAGGAGCGGCCCTGGTGGCCCCCAGCCACCCAGAGAGGGGGGGTGCACTGGTAGGGGGCCGGCTGACCGTCTCCATGCCGGGCTGTGGGAGTGTCCCACCCAGGCATTTTATACCTTACAGTGTAACTTTTTTTATTTTATTTTACTCTGATTATGATTATTCAGGAATACTATCTCTCAGATAAGTTTAGGGTTAGCTTTCTGATTTATAACTTTGTACTGCGTTGATTTCTGTAGCGGTTTGGTTTTCTTTCTGCGGGTGGGGGACGGGAAGGGACAGGGCACGTCTGATTGTCTGGTTTCTATCAGGACAGACCACTGGGCACACTCAGGAGGCTGCGGCCAGGATGCACTGAGGGAGGGGGGGAGCCTGGGGGAAGGCGGCAGGGGAGACGGGGGTGGGGGGCGGGAGGCATAGGATGGAAGCGAGACAGAGGGCAGGGGGTCTTCTGGGAACCGGGGGTGCTTTGCCAGGAACGAGGTGGAGCAGGCGTGGGTCCTTACGTGTCTCTGATGAGCAGTTCTTTTTCCTTCTTCCTCCCGCCCGCCCTCTGCGGGCTGGGAGGCTCCCCTTCCACCCCTTGCGGGGGATTCCCGCGACAGGTTCTGCAAACCCGTTATTTCACAGACATTCCTGCTAGAAACTCTCGGACAAATACCTCTCTAGTTCAGATGCTGCTCACTCTCACATTGCTTCTGGAAGGGGAAGCAGTCCTTCCGTGGAGCTGCTCAGCCGTGACAGAGGACCTGCGACCTCCGGGGGGCGGGGGGGGGAGCCGTGATGGTCCGGCTGGAGTCACTGCCTGGATGGAGGAAGGGGGGGGTGGATGTCCACGCGGCTCCCAGGACCCTCAGCTCCTTGCTTGCGGTTCACTGATGCCGCGGTGGCTGGCGGTCATGTCCTCCGCCACCCCAAGGGAAAGCACAGAAAACTCGAGGAAACCCGGAGGGATCCTGTTATGGTGGCCCCAGGACAAAGCAACCTGAGTCAGGGCCTGGAGGTGAACAGCTGGGGGGCATCCAACCACAGCCAGGTGCCCCCACCAGGGCTCACGCTGGTCTGAGCAAGTTGTACAGTTGAAACATAAGTTAAGAATCTGTAGGGCTGAGCTTGGAAAGGTTCCTCACCAGCTAACATTTACCCAGATGGGGCCTCACCTGGGCGCTGCCTTTGTCCTGCACCGTTTGGCTGGATGCCCCGATCGCCCCATCTCCTCCCCAGCCTGTGTGTCCAAGAGCTGACACCCAGCCAGCACCCCCTTCTCCCCTTAAGCACAAGACGGTTGGGACCAGCAGCGCAGAACTTCTGTGTGCTCAGGGGTCGTGCTTCTGGGTGTGGGGAGTGGAGAAAAGGGTGGTCTCAGTGAGCTGGGTGGAGTAGAGACCATCTCCCGAGACAGGAGTGGGGGTGCCTGTGGGCAAGCTTGTGGGCAGGGTTTGGGTGGAGGACAAGCCAGTGCAACATGCGACCGGCCCTCCCCACTCTCTGTGCCTGACTTCTTGGAAAGGAGCTTCAGTGACTCCCCTGGGAACCCAGGTCTGCAGAGCCCAGAATAGACGTGTACCCTGCCCCCTCGAGGCACCCTCAGCAAACAAGCATTTGAGTGGCGCATTGGGACTGCTGCATAATGAGTTTGTGTTGGGGGTGGGGGAGTTGTTTATGCCTATCAATGCAATTTTAAAGTTTTGTTAAAATCAACAGCAAAAGCCTAGTACCTTGGGGGTGTATGGGTCTCCCTGGAATCTCATGTTTCTGCCCTCCGGCCCTGGGGCCCTTGCCTCAGTCTCCCTCCTCCTGCCAGCCACCCCATCTTGTCCACAGTTCCCCAAACCGCCTTCTTGCCTGACCCAGTGCTTGGCTGATCGGTCATTTGGCTGCGTCCGCACAGGGCAGCAGACTCCGTGTGCTGGGGGAGAGCTCTTCTGTGACCCTTCTTTCGTCGTGCAGAGCGGTTCCCCTGAGGCACAAAAGGCACGCTGCGTGCTGTCAGTGATGGGGCTCAGCATCGTGTCTCCCAACTCTGGGCTCACGCCAGAGTTACCTGAGTCAGTCCCCTCCCTGGCAGCTCCCTCCCCAGGTCAGAATCAGTTCCAGGGGTTCTGATGCAGGCAGGTTAGAGTGGACTCCGAAGGCCAAGGTTCTGCAGCCTTTAGGGGCATGCCTGCCTCCACCCAGCCTTTCTCTGCAGCCAGGCGGGTGCAGGACAGGTGGGCGAGCAGGGCTGAGCACCGTCCCTAGGGGCAGCAGCTGGTGTGACCCCCCCACCCCCCATCTCCCCCCCACCAGTGTGGGCCTCTCACTCTGGCAAGGCTGCTGACCACCCCTTGCCCCCCGCGAGACCCTCAAGCAGGTGTTCTGGTTTGACTTGGACCAGCTGGCCATCCCTCCTTGCTCTGGTGGCCAAAGCGTGGTCCAGGTGGATGGAAAAGAGGTTGCCGCCTCTCCGGCCCCTGCCCACCGCTGGGTGGAGGTGCTAACAGCAGGGACCCGGCCGGACAGAGCGGGGAGGTGCCCTGCAGGGCCGGCCTTTGGTGTTCCCGTCCTCCCATCCTCCCCTCCGCTGCCATGAGGCCAGGTCCAGGGTGCATCCCCACGTCCCTCCGGGCCGGGCCCCCCATCGAGGGTGAGGCCGGGGCTCCTGCCCGCACCCTGTCCACTAGGCGACACGGCCGGGCAGTGTCCCACAGGCTGGTTTCAGTGCACTTTTCTGCTTGCGATGCCACGTCTGTACGCTTCCTTCATCCTGGTCCTGGCTGTGGAACGCCATGTTTTTAGCATGTTTTTAAATAAAAACTGGTAACGTGTCAAAAGCACATGCAGGCTGTCTCCGTGGTGTTCTCGAGTCCCCGCAGCCGTGACAGTAGCCTCTCCCACGAGGCGATTGGTGTGCCCTCCGGCCTTGTCCATGCTGAGCCCAGGGCAGGGGGCTCTCCTACCCTCCTCGGGCCCCGGCTACAGATCTGCAGGTGGGCAGCCTGCCTCTCTGGGGACCAAGCAGTCCTCACGCCCGCCCCCCACCCCAACCTGGTCAGCGGATACAGCCTCCGTCAGGGGCCAGTTTAAGTGGTCTGAGCTGGCCACGTGAGAGGCCAGCTCCCAGCTCCATGTCTGTCACCCGCCACAGAGGGCTTGTCCTGTGGGCTGGCTTCGTAGGTGTGTGTAGGAGGGGTCCGGGAACAAGTCATCCATGGCCCCTGTGGGGTGGGGCTGTCAGTGTTAAGTACCTGTGATGTTCCTGGGGTTCTTGTGGGCCTGATGTCTTGCCCTGGGACTGAGGGGGCCTCACAGTGTGACCTGGCCTGGGACACACCCATCAGCGTGAGATGCTTGTCGGTGGTGGGGAGGGGGGCCTTGGAACCTCGAGAGCCCTGATCCGCTGGCTGCAGTGGGATGCTCCCCGGCTCCCCGGCTGGGGCTCCGGTTTGTGGTTTTCCTCTGCCGTCATCGTCCTGGTGACAAGGTGCTGAAGGCAGGTTGATGGGCTGGGCAGGAAGGAAGGGTGGGTGCAGCTCGGGGTCTCCTCGAATCCCTCCTCGGGGGGAGGCCAGGCTGGCACGACTTGTCCCGATCGCCCACCTTGGCGCCCCTTCCCATGACTGCCATGTTCCGAAGCCCCTGAGGCTTTGCCGAGGATTGGGGGGATCTGAGGTGACCCCCTCAAAGGTCCAGATGGAGTGGGGGCCCCTGAGAGCCTCCCCAAGGATGGTTACCAGAAGGCCTTAGGGCTGAGGGGCCGGTGACCCCGAGTCATCCACTAAGGACCAACCAAGTCATAGGAGCGTGGTGGGGCTGCTCCCCCTTCCTGTCCTGCTCTCCTGCCCCCAGCCAGTGGACGCCCCAAGGGGATGCCCACCCAGCCGCTGTGCTATCTGCTCCTGGGAGCAGGGTGCAGCTGGCCGGCTCCCTGGGCCTCAGAGCATCCTGGCTGCACCATGAGCGCTGGGCGCCTGTCAACTGAGCTAAGTAACGTGAGTGGATGGTGCCCTGGTCGGGCAGGGACCACAGCCTGTGAGCTGGTGGGAGAGCTTGAACTCTGCTCTTGAAGAGCAGAGGGAGCCCCTGAGAGGTTTGAAGCCTGGTGTGATAAGCGCCAGCCCGCCGGCTGCAGCGTGACAACCAAGGGGGCTGTACCAGCGGGATGCGGGGAAAATGAGAGAGGCCCACGAGAGGACTGAAGGGCCGTGATGATGGGCCAGATTCTGGGGGGAGAAGAGACCTTCCTGCTGTCCCTCCGGGCCATTGTGAGTGCCTCTCCCAACAGGAGAGGGCTCCTGGAACCCAACGGAGGCTTCATGGGTCTCATGTGCAGGGGATGGGGCAGGCGGGGATGAGAGGCTGCAGGCTGTAACTGAATCTCTCATTTGGTAGATGCTGATTCACAACTCCTGAAATGCTTTTGTGTGCTCTATAGATCCTTCCTGACCACAACTGTTTTATTGGCTGTCACTGAGCCTGAGCTTTCAGCCTTAGGGAGGCACCACCTCTGGGTGGTCTGGGTGGAAAGAGCTCTAGTTGCAGGGCTGGAGCCTGGGTTCGGCTCCCACTCTGCACGTGGCTGGTGTCCATGTGAACACCGGGTTCTCACTGAACATGTCTTGGTTTTGTCATCTGCAAAATGAAGATAATACTATTTTGCAGAATTAAATCCTCAGGATTTAATTCGTGAGGATTAAATAAAAGTGTGCATGTAAAGACATCTAGCTTGTTCCCGGACCAGAGTAGGCACTTGGGCAAGAAACTGGCCAAGTCTGGGACCTCAGGAGTCCCCAGACAAGAGGTGGAACTCCAAGGAAGAGCATCCCCCGGCTGAAAACCGGGGATGCAAGAGCGTGATCTGGAGGGGGAGCTGGGGTGTGGAGGGGGGAGAGAGCTCCAGAAGAGACCCGTGGGCACGGACATGAGTGGTCCCTCCCCCTCCCCGAGCCTGCTCTGCTGGCCCAGTAGCAGCATTCAATAATCCACAGAAGTCAGACAGAAGTCAGATTAAGGGGACGTCATTTTGGACACCAGAATATCGGCTTTGCACGTGTTCCGTCTTACAGCATCCGGCAAAGACCAAGAGGCTATTGATTTAGCCATCTTGTTTCTGCTGATGTAATGACAGCTGTGGTGGGCTAATGCATCTCCTCAAACTAACAAAAAGAGCAAGTCCACCAGCGTGCCTGGGCCAGGCTGTCTGGCTGCCTCCAGGCAAGAATACTGGAGTGGGTTGCCATTTCCTGCTCCAGGGCATCTTCCAAACCCAGGGATCGAACCTGTGTCTCCTGCATCGCAGGCAGGTTCTCTACTGTCTGAGCCAGCAGGGGAGCGCCCCTGGATGCCGAGCAGAGGGGGAACAGTGTGGCCAAGCCACACTGCGCTCTGCGGGTCTGCTGGTGGAGCCTTCTGCTGCCAGAGAGGTTTCTTCCAGTGGCTGATGAATTCAGGGTCCAGCCTTGCCCAGCGTCCAGAGCAGGGCTGATCCGACACGTGGAAAGGCGGAGCCATCCCATCGGTCAGAGATGTCAAGGAGCTCCTTGCCTTTTGCCTCCCTCCCCTGACCCTACTGGATTCCTGCAGCCTCAGTGTTGTCTCAGTAGATGCCCACTCTCTGTCAGAGACCCCGGATCTTCAGAGGACTCAGCCTTCTTGCTTACTGGTTGGCAACTCAGGAGCAGCATGTGAAATTAGACCCCTGATCCCCGACCTGTAATCCCTAACCCCCAGTTAGGGGTTCGGAGATAGTTACGACGACATTTACAAAGTCTGCTGGAAACTGCCCCCTTCTCTAGAAGCAGTGCCCAGCCAGTGGGAACAGGAGCCCTCTTGGCTCTGGCTGTCGACAAAGTGCAGAGACGTGGATGGTGTGGACCATGCTGATGGACAGGGCCGGGCTCACACTTTACTGACTGTCCTCTTCAACCCCGGACACCCCCCCACCCAACCATCACTGTGGCCTCACCTTTCTGCTCAGTCATCGCTGGACACAGGAGGAACGGGGAGGCAGGGCTTCCTGTACCACCACCCACAGCCTGTCCATCCTCAAGCCAGGGGAGGGAGGGAACAGGGTCCAGCCCGAGGCAGCCCACTGCTGCCACCTTTGCCGGGAGCTAAGGACACTGGTGGGCGGGCGGAGGTGAGCAGGGCCCTGACCAGTGTGGTGGCTGGGTTTCCTATCGGGACCTCTCCCCCCATCACTTCAGCACGCAGCGGGGCTTCTGACAAGCCAACAGCCGAGAAGGGACAGTGAAGACTGCAGCCCTGGATACCATTCCTTTATTGGGGTGCCCCCAGGACAGAGGCGGAGGCTGAGGAGCGGCGTGTTTACGCTGAGGCAGTGCCTCTGAGTGCAGACGTTTATGGCAACTTTTCTGTTTCCAGAACATTGTGATGACCCATATCCATGGGCAGCTGGATCCAGGAGCCCTCCTGACACCGGGCTGCCGGGACTCTGAGCGGCATCTGCAGGGCTATCTGGTGCAGGAGCAGGGCGGGGAGGATGCCCACAGGGGAGACTGTGAACAGAGCACAGGGCTGGGCGTGTGGAAACAGAAGATGGGGGGCGAGGGTGGAGTGGGCCCTCCCAAGGCACACAGAGGTGGTGGGAAAACGGGGCTGGGACATCACTCGTCCCTTCCGGGGAGAGGACCCAGGCCCCTGGTCTTCCAGCCAAGGTCACGGACGGGCAGGTACACAGTGGGTCAGATGCTTTATCCCATGCTCCGGTGAATCCAGTGGGATTCAGCCTGGTGCCCGGGGTGGGGGGGGGGGGCTTCTGAACCCCGGGGGCTCTGACACACACGGGAAGTGGCAGAGGCCTGCCTCGTGGCGTGTTCTAGGGCAGTTGCTGTCAAGATGTGGCCCGGGGCCAGTAGCATCACTGTCACCTGGGAGCTTGTTAGGACGCAGACGCTAATGAGGAGAAGCCCAGGGAGGCCCAGCAATGGTTCAGAAGCTCTCAGGCTGATCCTGACCAATGCTGAGAACCCGGCTTAGACAATTCCATCACTGGCGTCCCCTGGGGGCGTGGGCACCACCCAGTGGTGGTACAAACACAGGTGTCCTCCTTAGCCCGTGGAAACCCCCGTCCCCTTCTGTCCAGGCTTCAAGTGGCAAACCAGGTGGAGAACCTTTACAAGGCTGACAGGGGGATGGGCGGTGATGGTAGTAATGGGTTCAGTTCACTTCCTCTACCTCAACCCCTCAAGACGAACCAGGTGGCAGAGTCCAAGGCAGAAACCGGCTGTGGGCATGAAGGTCCCTGGGGTGTAGCATTCCGCCCCTCCTGGGTGCTGCGCTGGGAGCCCAGGGAGGTGGGGCAGCCTGGTCCAGGGTGAGGACCAGGGCTGCGTGGACTCCCGTGCCTGCTGTGTCCAGACCTCTGCACAAGCCTGGCTTTCTGGCCAGCCCCCGGTCACTGATGGCTGACCTTTAAGCACCGTGTCCTACTCCCTCTCCAAGGAGCTCGGGATTGGGACACCGCCCAGCAGGGACCTGGGAGGGGCTGTCCGGGGCACAGAGCGGTGTCCTTGCAGGCGGGGTGCCAGCCTCCCCATCCTAACCCTTTACGCGCTCCATGAGAGACTGCTGTTTCCTGGGCCTCGTTTCCTCTCACATTGTCTCATCTCCCGGGCTGCTGGCACCAGCAGGGAGGTCCCAATTTCAGAAAGCATGGGGCCGTTTTCTGCCTCTCTCTCTGCAACGTGGACCTCCACCCTCTGGGTGGGACCGTGCCCAGGGCAGAATCACAGTTCTCCTGCCCCAGCCAGGCCGCCTCTGCCCATGGGGGTGGGGGCAGAAGAGTCAGGCTCTTCGGGGCCTCCGCCAGGACAAGGTTGTGCAGGTGGCATCTGCCCGTCACCCCTCCGTGAGTCCCGCCGACCTTAATAAAGCCAGCAGGGACTCCAGCAGGGGCACAGGTGCAGCCAGCCAGCACTGCCCGGCCCACTGCCGCCTCCCTTGGGCCCCTCAGAGGGAAGAACATGATCTCCCTTTTGGCCCTCACTTTGTAAGACGTCAGCTGACATCTAGCCCTGCAGATAACTTGGGACTTAACGGTCATTTTTGGTTATCTGCACAAATCCAGGAAGTTGGATGCAGCAAAGATAATCACAGCACCAATTTTTAGGGGGCCTTGGGAATCTGGGGCTGCTGGAAAGTTGGTCTCCCTTTGAGTGAACCAGCATCAGGGACCCCAGGGCCCTTCCCGACAGCCCCAGAGAATCCCAGGGCAGGAGGCAACCGGTTGCAGGAGGCTGGTCTGCCCTCTGTGTGTGTGTGTCACCCCTCTCTGGGAGTGTGCGGTTTGGGTACAGTGGGGCCTGTGATGGGGACAGCGCTGACCCATGAAGGGGAAAGAAAACACCTTCGCCTGGGATGGGCCCAGGTCAGAAGAGACACCAGAGGCCAGGCGTGCCCCTCCTGGACTTGACCTCGGCATCCTGAGGGTGGAAGTAGGAAGTGCGGGATCCAGAACCTGCGACCTGGGGGTCTCTGCCCACGTGGGACCCTCTGGGGGATCTTATGAGTTGATTCGTGTTCTCTGGAAAACTGCCAGCATCTGTGCCCTGTTTCCTAGGATTTCCTTTCTGTTCTCTGTCCACATTTTGGAAAGTCTTTTCTGAAAATTCTCTGCTTCAGAGATGCAAGAGAAAACCTAATGAAAGGACCGCGCCCATTCTGGGACACAGAGCAGGGCCCCTGCAGGCCAAGTGCTGGGGGCCGGGGGTCCAGGAGCACCGGCTCAGGAAAAGGAGTTTTGGGGCAGAGCACCCCTCGGCTAGAGCTGCACCTTCTTGGTGGCTCCAGCTTCGCAGGGTCTGTGGTTTGGTTTAATCAGGAAGGAGTTTACTCCCACCAACATGAAGGGCAGATGATAGTTTTAAAAACCTGGCTTTCTTTGAGCATCAGGCCGGAGAGGACACCCCCTCAGGGCATATGGCTGGAGATGGGGGCTTGGGGTCATGGGCTCCCAGGGGACCCTCCTGGGGAGGGCCTGGAGGCAGGCACTTGCTCCCCACCCTGGTGGCTTCACCCCCTGCCCCCCCACCCCACCACCGCCCAACCCTGCCCTGCAGGAAGGAACCACGCCATGGGAGGCTTCTCTCCAGGTGAGATGGTGCGGGTGGGAAGGGGGTGGAAGAGGGGAGGGCAAAGGCTGGGGTCTTCTTGGGGCAGAGACAACTTTAACTGCCTATTCGATGCATTTCTCAGGGAGCACATCCAGCAGGGCCGGGAGAGGGGTGCTCAGCGCCCGTTGGGGGATCACAGGCTCATGTGCAGGCGTCCCAATGGGGGCAAAGTGGCCAGCCCCCATTCAGGGTTCAGGAGTGGGGAGGAAAGCAGATTTCATCACAGCCCCCCGGGGTCCACAGGAGGCTAGGCCTCCTTGGGCTGTGCTCTCTTGCCCCAGGATTCTGGTGGTGAGCACGCAGAAGTGGAGGGCGGGGACCGAGGGTCCCTGGCCAGGTGGGGGCCACAGGGGCCATGGTCTCAGGCACTGGGTGGGTCCGGAGGGGCTGGGCGCAGAGAAGGGGGGTTGCTGGGAGCTTCCAGGCCAGCTGGTGCTGACCTTGCAGGCCTGGCCCGTGGGCTTTGGGCCCCTGAACTTGTGAGGGGCAGTCGGAGCAGGATGCAGTTGGCCATTAGTAAAAATGCAGTTGGAGCCTCCGGTGTAAGCTGCAGGTGAGTATCATGCCACAGATCTGTCGGGAGAGAGTGCAGGGACACACAGGAGTCAGAGCCCGCCAGCCTGCCAGTGGAGCTGGGTTCCCCACCCTGGGGAGCCCCCTGCGGACTCAATCAAGGGCGGATTCAGACCCAGGGGGCCTTGGGTGCGGCCTGCAAACCTGCATTTCTAATAAGCTCCCAGGTGATGTGGGTAGGGGCTGGAGGCGGGGGACCACTTTGAGAACCACTAGCCAAGAGCGGTATTTCTCACGTTTGAATGTGCACAGGTTGCCCAGGGATGCGGTGGATTGCAGCCCTGAGGCCTGGGTGAGGGCCTGCACCTCTAAACAAGCCTCCCGTCCATGTTGCAGCTCCGCGGTCCCGATTCTTTTCCGGAGAGGGCCTGACTCAATTAGACCCCAGGTAGTGACATCGTCACTCCTCATCACTGCCAAAGCAGCCTTTCTCCAGGAAGATCTGTCTACGTCTTGCTGCTCTCAGATTCTGGAGCAAGACCAGGGTGTGGAGTTGATTCTCCAACTGATATGCAGGAAAAGAAACTGAGGCTCTGAGTGGAGGGCCCAGGACAGTCCACCAGCTCATCCTGTAAGCCAGCTCAGGACGAGCCCTGGGCCAGGGGAGCCTGCCTGTTGGCCCCTCTGTCCTACCGACTAGCTGGCAGTGCTGGGCAGTCGCCTTCCACGTCTCATTTACCGACCTCTAAATGCAGAGGACGAGGATCACTGCTCCCCGCCTCTCTCTTCATTGCCTCCTCTGCCTTCCTTCCCACTCAAGGATGCACTGAGGATGAGGAGGTGGGGATATGAAGACCGAGGAGGCCCAGGGCTGTGACGGTGACCCTGATAAAGATGATGCCACTGGCTCCTGGCTCCCTGCACACGGGAGGGGGCGGTGGGAGGGCAGCCCATGACCGTGCCGCGGACAGGGGTCCAGAGGGGTTCCCAAATACGGGAAGCAGTGCCCCGTCTTCCCCAGACCTTCCCAGTGGCAGTGCTGACCTGATCGTTCTGGGATACCTCTGGGCACACCCGAGGACAGGTGGACGAGGATGCCCCAGGACTGGCAGACACTAGTTTCTCTTCGAGAGGCTCAAGGAAGGCACAGAGGGTGAGCCCTTCGGCGTCCCCTTCCTCCTCCCAACTCTGTCCCCATGTGGGAGGTTCACCCCCTGGGAACACGGCTTTCAGCTGTCAGACTTGGTGCTAAGAGCAGTGCTAATCCACCCGGGGGACTCAGTCTTGGGCTGAAAGGTGGCTTAGAGCTCATCTCATCTTTTGCTCTAAGCCAGTGGCTGTCATAGCCATTCTGCCCAAGTGTCGGGCATGCTCTCTGCCCTGTCCCCACCTCAGGGCTTGATGAATCGTCCTGCAGGGTCATCTGAACCTTTCTGACCCTTGTTGAAGGGGAGGCCAGATGGGAGCAGCCAGTCCAGCACAGACTCATGGCTGCATCTTCTAAGGTGCATGCCTCACGCTGGGGAGGACCCGGAGGACCGAGTGCCCAGTGCTCTGTACACGACGTGTGGCCCCAGGGTGCTCCGGGGAAGGCACAGTGAGGTGGACATCAGTGAGTGTCCACACACACACACACACACATGTACACACACACATGTGCACGCACACACACAGACACACCACCCCAATACATGCAGATGAGGCATGGCTACTAACTACCTGGTCCCTGAAAGAGCCCCAGCGTCTGCTTCCCGACAGAGGACACAGAGGAATCTGCACCACCAGCTGTGAGCAGAAAACACCCAGGACAGGGCACTGTGGGAGCAGGAGGAGGCGGAGGGTGGGCAGGACGGGCTGCTGGGCCAGCCTCCATGGGGCCCAGGCGCTTGACCCTGGCACTGTGGCCAGGGTGCCGGCCGCAGATGGTGTTGTCTCATTGTGCTGGGGAGCAGCCTAGCCTTGGACCTTTCAAAGCTCACCAGGTGACCCCAACGTGCAGCCCGGGCTGAGGATCACAGCCTGGAGGCTCCAGGAGGCCTGTCCCTTCTTGCATCCTGGCCATTTAGCCTGCCAGCTTCTCTGCAGGCAGACCAGTGCCTGGTCCGCGAGTTCGGGAGGCAGCACGCGGTGTCTGGCTGGAAGCAGGTTTGCTCCGTTCATCATTGTTTCCTGCTTGGTCTTCAGAGAATTCATGAGACATCCAGGAGCCGCAGCACCTCAGTCTCATTGAGGCACGATCCTGGAAAACCATGGGAGGCTATTCCGGATGGCTGTCATGACAGCCTCCTGATGCCTGCTTCCTTCCATCAGGTCAGCTCTGGCCTCACGTTGAATAAATTGGGCTCCTGGGGGAGATTCCCACCGATGAGAGAACGTGCTGTGTGCTAAGTCACTTCAGTCGTGTCCTTGCAACCCTACGGACTGTAGCCCTCCAGGCTCCTTGGTCCATAGGGATTCTCCAGGCAAGGATACTGGAGTGGATGGTAATTTCTTCCTCCAGGGGATCTTCCCAATCCAGAGATCGAACCCACCTCTCTTACATCTCTTGCAATGGCAGGCAGGTTCTTTACCACTAGCACCACTGGGCAAGCCCCGATGAGAGAATGCTGTTGCTTAAAAAGGCTTGCAGACATCTCATTCCTCCACATTACAAGTAAGGGAACTGAGGCTCTGGAGGAAGGGTGGCCCCCCCCAGATAACATGGAAGAGGAAGCTCCGTCTATGACGGAGGACTCCAACTCCCAGGCATGACCTTCCCACCCGTTCCTGGAGGCAGGGGGAGAGGACATCTTGGCCTCGTATCTCCTGGGGATCTCCAAAGTGCCAGGTCCGTGTGAGCGGGGAAGGTTTCTGGGCGCCGGGTGGAGAATGACAGCCTAGGGGCCCGGCTGGCCTGAGCCCAAGGCCGGGCGGTAGTTCCAGCACTGGACGGCAGGGGGCGATGGAGCCCGAGGCTTAGTTGCTGCAGCAGAATGGTTGGAATGGACACAGAAAATGGCCAGGGATGGGTCCCTGGTGGTGGCCCGGTGACACTCTCTCGGGGACAGGAGCTCATTTCTGCAGGGCACTGTGAAGGATGAGCTGCCCATGGTGGAGTCAATGCGAGGCTGTGAGCCCTGCCTGGTGACCCGACCTCCTCGGAGTTACTCCTATGGCTGGACCTGCCTGACCTCAGGCTCGGTGGTCATCCCATTCCCTGCCCTTGGCCTCACTGCCCTTGTCTTCAGCTTCAGGCTTTTGAAGGTAGAGGTCAGGAGGAAATGGATGGAGAGTGAAGCCCAGATCCGGTCAGTGTCCGCAGAGCAGGCCCCCAGCACCTGAAGTCGGCAGGAGGTGTCTGGAAAGTTGGGGTGAGGGAGGCACACCCCCTCCCCAGTCAGGCTGGCAGCTCCCGGGGGTAAGTGCATTGCGCAGGAGGCCTGCCTGGGTAGGTACGAAGGGGCCGTGTGAGTGCCCCCCAGACATTCTGTGCCTGCACTTGAGTGGGGGGTGAAGGGGACGGGCTGGCCTGGCCAGGAAACCACTGGCTCTCTTGAGAGATGCCATGCCCACGTGCAAATGATAACATGGTGGTGGGTACCGTTTCCTGAGCAGCTGCAGTCCGTTTGCAATGAGCCGAGTGATTGACGTGCACACTTGTCACTACCGCATGTGCACCGTGCCCTCTGGTCACTGATCTGGTATGACCAGCCCCATTTACAAATGAGGAACCAAGGCTCAGAGACGGAATAGCCAGCCCTAGGTTGGCTGGTCTCCACCAGAGGGTGGGCCATCTCCCACCCACCCTGGGCTACAGCCAGGTCCCCTGGGTGCACAGGTGGAGATGGTGATCAGAAGGAACCCTACCCGGGGAGGCTCCCAAGCTAACGGCCGCCACCACCCCAACTCTCTCTACAGACCCTGCATCAGGGACAGAGCCTGGGAAAACAAAGGACCAGGAGCCAGGGGCCTGGTGCCAGCTCAGGGAGTGAGACCCTCGGGCCATTGGCCCTCTGATCTGCTGGCCTGGATAGGCTCTGGCCGTGGCAGGGTTGGAGGAGAGCACTCAGGGAGGCCTTCATGAACCAGGTACCCCCTTTCCCACTGACACCTCTCGTGGCTGGGAATAAGCTGCTCGCTGCGGATGAAGGCCCTGAGGGGCGGGGAAGTGACCTCTCAAGTCGCACCAGAGCAGGGGCTGGACAGGACGGGTCCTGTGATGCCGGCCTCTGCTCTGAGCTCCTGGGATGGGGATTCGGGGGTGACACTTTGTGGGGAATCAACTACTCTAGCTGTGCCAGGCGAGGTGGGCCTGCAGAACCCTTACTCACTGCATCTGGCCCTCCTGAGTCCACTCCCTCCACCTTCCACAGGACCCCTGGGTGGTGGCTGGGGGAGGGGTGTGAGCGATCAAACGGAGCCAAAGCATCACTCATCCTCGGAGCACACAGCTGGGTGTACATAGGGGCGCACACCTCCCCAGGAGTAAACACACACACACATCACACACACAGAGGAATGAGTGCGTGTCCATGCACAAACATATACACACATGCACAGCACGCTTAAACACATACGTGCATCCAGCCCCCACCACGTACAGCTGGGTACATGCAGACACACCCACGGACCCCACGCACACCACGGCAGGCCGGCGTGCACACACAGAGTGCATGCACATACCTGCACCCACACTCCCACTCCTCCCAGGTCTTTGTTCCTGACAAGTGCAAGGTGGCCCCCAGGGCCTTTTCCTTCATGTTTTCTGGGGGAAGAGAGTGACCTTGGCTGCAGAGGGGAAAGATGGGAGAGGAGAGGGCAGGTTGGGCAGGGGCGGGCAGAGGGCCAGGATCTGAGATCTCAGCCAGCGAGAGAGGGGTTTGGGGCTCCAGACAACAACCCCCCCAGAATCCTCGCTCCAACTCACCTGCAGGCAGGCCACCCCGATGCCCACGGCCCCCATGAGCAGCAGGTGGTCAGCCAGGAACTGCTCCAGCTTGCTGATGCACCCTCCCTGGAAGACAGGTAGGCAGGTCACACACACACACCTTGGCCCGGAAGTGGGTGAGGATGGGGAGGAAAGGCTGGTGGGGGCTGCTCCCTGCTGAGGGAGGCCAGACACTTAAAGGGCCAGGTCTAGCCTCTCAAGTGCCCATGGGCTTCTTAGGTGACCCAGGGGCACACCATGATGTCCCCAAATATTCCTGGAGAAGCTGCAGCCCCCAGACTTTGTGTGGACCTTTGAAGGCTCAGCGCCGTCTTGTGGTCAGAGAGTAAGTGTGATCTCCACCACCCCGCCCACCTGCCCGGCCTTTCCAGGCTCCGCGGGACCAGCACTCACCTCCACCTTGTAGATGTTGGAGGGGTGTGCCCGCTGGCCGCAGCGTGCCACCACTGTCTTGCAGCAGCTGTCCGGCACCTGGCGGCCCTCGGCCTCCAGAGACAGGATGTAGCTGCTCTGAAGCCAGTCGGCTGAGCTGTTGCTCCCGCAGCATTTGAACTGTGGCGGAGAGGCAGAGGCTGGAGGTGAGGAGGGAGTCCGGGCCGCCGCAGGACAGTATTCAGACCCTAACCTCATCCCTATTTGCTGGAGACTTTTTGCTTCCCCTGTTTTGAGCAGGAGCTGGCTCTGGGCGGTGGGGGGCTTCTCTCCAGGCAAGTGGGGAACTGACTGCAGGAACACTGATGGCTACCTCTTTGGGCGACCCATGTCCTTTAAGGAGATTGTGCTGGGTGTCCTGGGGGCAGGGAGGACCTGGGAGAAGATGGGTGGGCGGGGGGTGGGTGCTGGCAGGTCCTTGAGGGAGGAGGGCTGTGTACCCCTGTGTGGCAGGCCCAGGGCAGCGCCAAACCACCAGGGCGTGGGTTCCTGGTCATCCAGGGAGATAGGACCCCCAGGACAGTGATTCAGTCTTGCCAGAAGCTCAGGTATCCCCCATCCAGGCCTCGAAGCTTCAGCGCCCCCAGACCTGTAGGACACAGAGGTGTCCCAGAGGCCTCTGCACGGGCAGATCAGTGCTGACCAGAAGGACCGGTGTGAGTGCTAAATAAGGCCGAGGTCTTACCTTTGGATGTAAAGAGCCACGTGCGGCCAGTGGCGACCGTGTTGGCCTGAGGTCCACGTGCCCCTCCCCAACCTCTGCAGGACTGTGGGCCTCACTGGGGGATGGTGAGTCCCTTCTTGGCAAGGAGAGATCCTCCCCCCCCCATCCCCCGAGTTCTGCCTGATAGCTCCTAACTGGGAAATTCTCACAGCTGCTTTTCCAAAACACCCTGCCTGTTTCAGTTCACTCTCCTGGAGCCACAGCCGTCAGTTCCCCAGGGTGGAAGGAGGAGGCCCTGCTGATGGGAAGAGCCTGGATTCTGGCATGGCCAGCTTGCTGCCCACCAAGTACCCAGAGGGGAATGCAGAGGAAGGGGAGGAAGGAGCGAACCAGGATCCAGGAAGCACTGTCACATGGGAGGGCCTTCTACCTGGGGGACTGCAGTTAATGCTCCCACACCCTGTGAGGCTTCATTTCAGAGACATGGCAAGTTAGGCTCAGAGAAGGTGAGTAACTCGCCCAGGGTCACACAGACGGGCAGTGACAGAGACAGCATGGGAACCATGTTTGCGTGGCCTTCAGGCCCCAGGGCGATGCTCACATCCTGCTGTAGACGGTCCACAGATGCTGTGATTTCCGCAGCGCCAGGCTGCCTGTAGTTCTCGGCCAGGGTTCGGGTTAAGTGTTGCTTCAGCTCGTCGCTCAGCTGAGGATCATGGAGAGGGAAGGTGCGTCAGCAGAACCACCCACTGACTGCCCCCAGGCACCTCTAAGGCCATGCCTCCTTCACCTGGCATCTCATCCTTAGAGATGCCACTCAGGTGTCACTTCCTCCAGGAAGCCCTCTCTGACTGCCCAGGGCCAGAGGACCATGGGAAGGAGGCTGCACAGAAGGCAGGATCTGTGAAGATGGTGTTGCAAAGGCTATTATCCTGTGTCAGGGCGGAGGAAATGGGAGACAGGTGGGGGACCCCAGTTCCAGGGTGGTGGGATGGCAAAGGGGAGGCCAGGTACCAGGTGACTTTAGATCATCCTTTGGTACCCAGGGATTGGTTCCAGGGCCAGCATGGATCTTCCATGGATGCTCAAGTCCCTTAAATAAGATGGTGCAGTGTTTGCATATCACTTATGCGCACCCTCCTGTACTCTTGAGTCATCTCTAGATTACTGATACTACCTAATGCCATGTAAACACTGTAGCAACAGCTGTAAATTCAATGTAAATGCTACATAAACACTTGTGCATGGCAAATTCACGTTCTGCTTTAGGGAGTTTTCTGGAATTTTTTTCTGAATAGTTTTGATCCAAGGTTGGTTGACTCTGTGAATCTGGAACCCATGAATATGGAGGGCTGTCTGTATGTGTTGATTTTCATTTTGATTACAAGGTGATATTCAAAATAGGCCTTCCCTGGTGGCTTAGTGGTAAAGAACCTGCCTGCAATGCAAATGACTCAGGTTCAATCCGCAGCTTGGGAAGATTCCCTGGAGAATGGCAACCCATTCCAGTATTCTTGCCTGAAAAATTTCATGGACAGAGGAGCCTGGCGGGCTACAGTCCATGGGGGTCGCAAAGAGTCGGACACGACTGAGCACGCACGCATGCATTCAAAATATTTACACAGTTATCTGAGGATATCTGTCAGTCACATGGGCGCTGGTGTGAAAGGACAATGTGGTCCTCTGTCTGTTAAGAGCTGAGTATCACCCCTGAGTCACAGGCCGCCCAGTGGGAGGGGTCTGACCACTTCTTCCTTGTCCAGAGCAGGCAGGGGAGGCCTGGGACCACCCATGTGTCGCTGCCTCCCTGCCCGTGCGCCTCTCCCACTGTGGTCCCCTCCTGGGGGTGCCGATGGGGAAAGTAAACACAGGAGGGCATTCCACTCACCCTCTGGTAGTACACGTGGGCCAGGACCCCCGCTACCAGCTCAACGAGGAAGATCACCAGCAACAGGCAGAAATACTAGAAGCAAGGAGAGAAGGCAGTTACGAGGGGAGGGTCAGGCCTGGGCGGCCAGCTGGCCTCTCAGGACCCCTGACAAACACTTCCCCAGAACAATGGGGACCCCCATCCCTCACAGCATCTTCTGGACACACCCACCTCTCCTGGCTGCCAGCCTGGAGTTCCCCTCTCAACCTTTCACGCGCTGATCTGCTATCAGTTCATTAATCCGAGCACACAGCCAGTGTTTGTTAAATACCTACCATATGCCAGGTATGGTAGAGTAAGGCAATTATTGCCCTCAATTATTGGTGAAGGGGACAGATAAGTATGTGATCACGACGTAGTGTTATAAACGCTTCTATGGGGCAAGCTCTAGAAACTATGGGAGGCCCTGGGTTGGGGGGAGCAGTCAGAGTGGGCTTCCTGGAGGAGGTGACACCTGAGTAGCATCTCTGAAAATGAGATGCCAGGTGAAGGAAAAAGGATGCACATTCCAGACGGAGGAGAGAGCATGGGGAAGCCGGGAGGGAGTACAGTGCTCAGGGGAGGTGGGGCTGGAGTTCAGGGAGTGGAGAGAGAGGCAAGGCTGAGTATATTGAGACGGGCTAGGCAGCAACAGCTGAGGATGGGAAACAGCAAGGCGGAGATCCCGGGAAAGGCACTGTCCTGTCCTCTTCCAGCTCTGCACGGCCCTGCCGGGGCTCTAAACGCCCCTCAGCGCCGCTCTGCACATCACAGCCCTGCCGGCTGGGTTCCAGGCTGTGCACTCACGGTGACTGCGGGGGGACGGGTCTGCACCCCTCTCCCACCCCGGCCTGGTGTCACTGCCTGTCCTGCGGTGTTCGTGCAGGAGCCAAGGGGTCGGGAATGCCTGCCAGACCCGTGTGGCCAGGAGGGACAGGGAGGGGGCTGAGGGAGGATGGGGAGGAGGGAGGCGGAGAGAGGAGGACGGGAGGAAGAGGCCCCTCCCCCATCACTGACTGGTGCCGCCTCCTTCTCCCCGGGGGGAACTACCTACCCACCGGCCACTGGGTCACTGGACTCCAGGGAAGGCTCGGCCTGGGGGTGAATGTGGCAACCAGGGCTCATCAGGCAGGGGCCAGGAGGAGGGCAGGAAGTACAAGTGGGAAGCCAGTTCTGGGGTGATGCCAGTCCATGGGGCTGCAGGGCTAGCTCGACCACCTCCCAGCCCCTGAGGCAGCTGGCACAGAGGAAGAACTTTCCACCGAGAGCCAGGCTTCCTTTCAGGCTGAGTAAATCACCCCCCTCACCCACAGGCATCTTCCTGGGCCCTGCTCTCCCAGCATGAGAGCTGCCAGCAGGGCCCCAAGTATGGGTGGGGTGGGGCCTGAGGCAAGAGCACAGCGGGGGTCCCTGGCCCCCTTCCCACCCCGCCTCAGGGTCAGCGCTGCTCCGGGAAAGCCTGCATGTCTGAGCTCTGTCCATCCCCCAGCAGGGCCAGGAGCCCCGGCCTTCCCTCGGCGAGGATGTGAAGCAAGGCCAGGTTCACGGGACCCTCATGCCCGTGCGGGTTCTGGGTGGAAGCACGGGGCTCTCCAGGCTCCTAGACGCCTGGGTGAGAGGTGGGGACAGGAGCAGCAGGTTCCATGAGGGTCCCATGGACCTTTCCTGCCACGGGGAGGAGTCTGGATGAAGGGGTCCCCCCATAAGTGGAACGGTGTCCAGATAAGCCAAGGCTGGAGGCCTCTCACAGGTCTGTGGATGCGCCCTTGCTGCTGGAGGAACCTCTGGGATACGGGGCCTGGATACAGGGCCTGGAAACGCAAGGAGCAGTGATGGGATGTCGGCTGACCTCCAGGCTCGAGTCCAGGCTCAGCCACTGCTGGCTCCACGTGGGGGGCCCTGGTGCCTTGTGTGAAGCAGATGATGTAGCTCAGTGAGTGGGGCGCTGGAACCAGCCTTCCCACCCCCATAAGCCCCTGCAGCCAGGCCTGTGAGGCTGAACCAGAGGTTGGGATGACGGCACTAGCCTGCCGCCCCCTCCACCCTCCTCAAGCGTGTGACAGCCCCTGTTCCCCTGCCCGCCGGTTACTGAGACCACCCTCCTGCCACCTGCCCCTACTCGCAGTGACTGCTCCCAGGCTTCCTGAGCGCACCCCGGGGCCCTCGGTGCTGGGAGGCCCAGCTCCCCTCTAGCCACGGATCACGTGGGAGGGTGGCCCATGCTGCCCCCGGGACATCGCTGCCACAGTTGCTCCCGAAGCCGGGCTGGGGCGGAGGGCTGATGGGAAGGGAGGGGACCCAGCCACATCCTGACACGATGGCAAGCTAAATGAGTACCTGCCAGCCACTCAAAACCGCCCTGAGGCATCAAGCGGGTGTCAAACGTGCTACCCAACCTGCGACCTTCAAGAGCTGTCAGGAGGGACGGGGGCGTTCCCGAGACGCTTCCGGGCTCCCTCCCACTGGCACTCCAGATGTGAAGATGCCTCTGCAAGGGGAGCGAGGGCCAGGCCGGGGCTCTGCGGGATGGACAGCGGGTGCCAGTGGTGGGGTGATCAGTGGGCAGGGCGCCGGCTCCAGGCGGCAGCTTTGGTGGTTGCAGGCGTGTCACTCACCTGTGCGGGGGAGGCCCTGAGTCACAGCTCAGGGTGACAGTCCCTGGGGGTGGGGAAGGGTCGTGCTCATTGGGACCCTCCTGCACGGAGATCCTCCCACACAGGGAGCCTGGCAGTCTGACTTCTAGAGTGGTGCTGGCTGCAGCCTGGGCATGGGGAGCCAGGGCTGGGGCGGGGGGCGCTCTGCCATTGGGGGCCATGAGCTGTAACACGCCTCATCTTTGCACCCCACCTTGCACTCCACCAAGCCTGCCCTGACTCCCCTGGTCCAGTCACATCATCTTAGCACTCCCACGGCACGGAAGTCTGTATAGATGGTCCCTGAATCCAGGCCCAGCCTCCCAGCCTTTCTTTGCCCTGTTCCCTACCTGGAGTCCCAGGCAGGCCTACCTGGCCTTTCATGTGCAACTCATCACAGCCCCCCACGAGCCCATCCTGGGGCCCAGCCCCAGTGCCTCAGCGCTTCACCTGCTTCGTCTCCCGACAACAGTGCCTGTTTGGCCCCTTCTCCCCTTGACCAGGCACTGGTCCTCCACTGTGGCTTCCCCCTGCCCAGCTCCTGGTCCTCACGCAGCAGTCCCCAGGTGCGAGTGGCCTCCACTGGGTGAGGGACGTGACTTCACCCACCGCTCCCTGGAGGCTGCGTCAGGGCTACTGCACTCTCCCCCCCGGTGACCGTGAGCCCCTGGGGAGTGGGCCCCTCTCCTAGGCTCCTCTGGCTCTTCCACTGGCCTGGTGCAGAGCTGGGTCGCCAGGCTCGGAAAACAGCCCCAAAAAGAGACCTGCAAGTGCGCTTCTCACGGAGCGTGCCTGTGAGATGGGGAACTGGCCACAGCTTGCAGCCCACACGTGGGGGCAGCAGCTTAATCCTTTTCTGATCTGCGGATGGCGTGGAATTGTTGCTTTAGTTCAATTTATGCCCAAACTTCTCCACCTGGCACGATTCTGCCCCCAGGGACAACCGGCGATGTCTGGAGGCATTTTTTGTTGTTTTTGTTACAACTTAGAGAAGGAGTGCTGTTGGCTTCGAGTGGGCAGAGGCTCCGGGGACATGGTCATGGGGCAGGTCCCATGGTAAAGATGATCTGGCCTAAATGTCACCGGTGCCAAGGCTGCTGAGAAACTCTGACTCGCAAATTTACCTTCTGGCTCTGAGGCTGATGCTGGGACTTGATTTGCGTGTGTGCCTCTAAGCACTATGGGAGACACAGCAAAAACGTGTCCGAGGAAGGTTGTCTGGGCCCTGAGAAGCCTGAGATAACACAGAGAAGAAGGTGAGGGGTTTTACCCTGCACCTGCCTGGGAGGGCATCTTCACGGCAGGAGGTTGCTGACTGTGATTCAGGGAAGGAAGAGGGACGTCTATATGGCTTCAGCTGAGGGCACCGTGGGACCTGGAGTGCAGAGAAGATGCTGCTGCCTGGGGGACACTCTGGGGTCCCCAGGTGGGTCCTTGGGAAAGTGCTGGCCCAAAGGGCTGTGTGTACTTGATTCTGGGAAGCATGAAGAAGGTTCTCAAGCTACAGTGTGTCCCCTTTAAATCTGGTTTGGTGTTAGTTTGGAATTATTAACAAAAGGCAGTAAAAAGTTCTCAGATCCCCTGTGAGTCATTTGCAGACGTCGTATTTCAGCATGAGTCAGGACATAATGGACCCCAAACCTACCATCCCCAAGGGGCCACCAGAATTTCCAGCCTGTGGCTTAGTGGGTGATAACTGTTCATGGGTGCCGCCTTCTCAGGAACAGGGGAAAGGCAGGTTTTCTATATGGGAGCGGTGGGCAGGGTCCCCTATACCAAAACAACCCCCCAACCCCAAATTAGCCCTCCCTGGGCAGAATCGGTGCCTGATCCACCCAGGTGCTCCCCAAGCACACCCAGCAGGTGCTCCATGCACGACCCTGTTTGTTACATGGCTCTGTGGCCCCAGCGTCACACATGTGCATGGAGGGGTTACAGTTTGGCCGAGGTCACGCCAAGTCTGGAATTGAATCCAGGGATCCCGGCTGCAGTGTTTGGTGCTGACCCCATTGGGTCTGCTCGATGGCTGACGGCATGGGGGGCGGGGGCGGATGGGCTGGCTGAGCTCATGGGGGGGGCAGGGTTGGGGGGACGCCGGGCGTCAGGAGAGGGTGGTGACAAGAGGCAAAGGGGAAACTGGGCACAGGAGGGTCTCTCTCCAACCACCAGTCAGCCCCCAGCCTAAGCGCCCTCCGGGCAGGCCAGGCACGCCCCACCCTGGGCAGCCCACCTCCTCCCGAAGGGCCCTGAGCCTTCACGCCTGCGCTGGAGTCACAGCCCCAGCTTGAATGTCTACATCCGTCCCGTTCACTCTACTCAGCCCAGCCTGACCCTCCGAGTCCAGTGACTGCCCAGCTGAGCTACACCCCTCGTGTGCACACCAGGCATGCCTTGGTCTCTGCTGGTCCTGCCTGGGTTTGC